TGAGCGAATTCCTGAAGCTGTATATGCTAATACCAAAAATTCTAGCCAAGTACAGTAAGAGTTCGCAGGATCACTTATGCGGTTTATAGGGTCTGAATTAGCCATTGATGATTTATAATGATGTGGGAGAAAAGTCTGTGTGAATCTGAACGGTCTCGTGGGGGCATAAAGATTTACCAATTCAAGGAGTTGGGTACAATGAATAAGGTTACGTGTAGGTATTACAGTGTTTACGATGTGCAAGAAAAGAGGAAAATACGCAATAACCGTTAAGGGTGTTTTAAAATTGAAAAACCAAAAAGTAATAACAAAACAGAATTGCCTGATACTTCTATTAAGGTCCCCTACAAACCTGCAAAGTTTAAAAAGTAATCGAAATTTTCGGGTAACCGAAGTTCTTTTCTCAACCATAGAAACGACAGAGGTTTAAAATTTCCACAGAGTAAGAAAATCTTTTGCGTAACGAAATGGAATCAGTATAATTCAACATTTTTCCGCAATGTCCATTTCTCTGAACTCTTCAAATTTTGTGGGCCTTGATCAAATTCATTTCATTCAACATTTTATTATAAATATTATTATTTAACTTGAAATAAGAAGATTTGTCACTTATACATATGCAGCTATGAGGTGACATGACTCACATGACAGTCAATCTGCTAACAAGAGAAATTTATAAAAATTCTGTATTTTATTTTATATTGTATTGTATGTATATTCGTATGAATGAGAGGGTTAATCTTTACACAAGTAAATGATAATATTTATTGTTTGTCAATCGTTGAACAAACATTCTGTGATTATCCTATCGTATTATTCATAAAAAAGGTTCATGAGCACCCTTCATAAAAGCAAATATTCGTTTGACAGTTATTCAATAATTAAAAAATCCTAACCATTTCGAAGAATAGCAATATAATGTTAAAAATAATTATTATAAATATATAATGTTAAAATAAAATAAAATTATTGCTTCGCATTGCATTATATTTGCCAACTAGATTTGACATTTTCTATAATTGGATATCCCCACGGTCAGTTTTTTAGAATTGAAAAAAAGTAATACGAATTTTAGACAAAATTCGAAATTAGTTGTGTTTTACAGATTAGTGCATACACAAATGCATAAAATCCGCTGTGTAATCATGCCTGCTTTGATGAAGTAATTGTTATCAAGCTATTAAACACTGAGAGATTAAATATAATTCGGCACAAGATTAGTGCTTTATACAATATACATATGTAATCTGATGTAATAATATGCAACAATGACTCGTGGCGATTCAACATGAACGTATTGATTTCGTCGAACATTTACGCGCACTTCCGCGTCGCGTGCCAGAAATTCCTTCTGCGGAGAATGACAGCAAGCAGTAAATTAATTTTTACTTAAATGATTATTTAAATGAAACTTTATTTCTTGTTTGGAAATTCAAATAAAAGGAAGCAACATTAATCAAAATTGTAATTTGTTATTTCAAAAATCAAAATCAATCTAAAAATCATTTATTAAAAGTAAACACAAATGTTCGCGTAAACACCGCTCTGATAAATAATGAGAACTTCATTAATGAATTTTACAAATTATTATTTTTAATGAATAATCACTAGTTTACAGTCATTTGGTGGTCGAGACTCCACTATGAAATTCTTATGTAAGGTGGTCCCCTAAACACAAAAATCGACATGAGACAAAATCCTAAGGATACGTTTTTGAGATATCGCCCGATGAATATTTTGATACTTTTTTAAAAAAACGAATCTCGCTAACGCCTTGGCAACTATAATGCCCAAGCCTTTCAACCAAATGCCCGCTTTTGGAACATTGTGGAAGGATTCATACGTCTTGTATAGCCACGAGTAAATTTATCTACCCACATCAGTGACACCTAAAGTTTGGCACTAGTGGTCCACGGTTTCAAATATTTTAATCCTACGGCCGTATTGGAGCTACAATTCCCGTTGAAAAATGTGATAAAAAAAATATTTTCTATTATTAAATGTCTTTTGGAATACTTAAACTAAAAATATAAAAAACCAAAAATTAATTTCTTTAGACCATTGGGACGGAAAAACGATTGCGGCCCGTCCCGAATGTGCTAAGTAAAAAAAAACTAGCTGTTACGCATAACTAAAACTTTCTATTTATTTGTTATTTATTATACGTGAATCAAATAAAAATGATGCCCAATGTTGTATTGTCGTATCGCAGATTGGGGCACGATTCAGCGGAATTAATGCACGGATGGCTTTAAATAGGATTGCAACGTTGAATAAGTTTCTATCGATAATGCACGTGCTGAGAGACGGTCTCGGATAACGGGAGTTCGTTTGTGATACGTCCACCGGTGGCAGATGTGTGCCGAAACGAGTAATAATACTTGCTCCTGTAATCGAACACTCGCGAGCGGATCGCGTGTCCAAAATTCTTGGAACCCGATGTAAGTGCCGTCTTAGTGTTTTCTAGACTAGAAGATCTAGTATACAGGCCCAAGGTTTCGGTGGTCGCGAAATTGAAGAAATAAAGTTCGACAAGGTGGTAGCAATTATTTATCACCGATGATTGCTGTTCACCGCAATATCAATCTGGAACGGGTGTTGCATTACATATGCGAAACGATATACGGAGCTTGGCATTTGTAATATGAAACACGTGGCCGGCACGTTATCGTGCCCCGTTTTCGAGCTGACTTTTCTCAATCGCGTTTCATCTGATTCTCCATCTGTTTCTGGCCCTTCTTCCGACTGGAATGAAAATCTTCGGGCTGCTTTCATCTTTTTAACAAGGACGACATTGCTTTAATACGTTCACTTCCCCCTTTAATTATGTATATACATTGGCATTACTAGAATTTTTATCTGGGGGGGGGGGGTGGCAGGTCGCCTGACTTTCGCCCATAACACTCCCCATCAGGCACTTGTATGTATTTTATACCATGTACGTGGGATACAAAAAATAAAGTTACACATTTTAAAATAATTATTTACATATTTATTTAACATTAAAACTAACAATAACAAGATATATACATAATTAAAAAAAAATTGCAGATTGATTTAACAGCAAGAGTAAGTATATTATGTACAGATACCTATAGTTAAAATTTATATAAGCTGCAATTTGTTACAGGATTATTTGTTGCAGTAGAATGTTAAAATTAAACAGCTTATTTCTAACATAATTTTATTTAATACTTCAACGTAATGTATATGTAATGATGGTAGTGTATTTTTTGTATTTAGTTGCGTTGCGTATTGCATTTCGGTCCAAGTATTTATTTCTTATAACATAAGGTGTTACTAACTGACGAATATTTTTTTACATGTTTCAATAATTTTTGGACAGGGGGGCAGTCCGCATTCTGGCGGGGGGGGGGGCAATCAGCTAATCTAGCCCCCCTGGTCCCTACCTAGTTACGCCAATGTCTATACAGGGTGTTCCGTTTGTCGGATAAAGTTCTGAAAGTTCTCGGGTGGCTGATCAGCACAAAAACCATTTTGAATATCAACGAATTACTTTTGTCACGCTTACTTTTTAAGAAAATATTACTAATACTGAAGTGCCACCTGAGACATTCGGAACTAAAGCCTTATCTTGGATTCCTTAATATCTTCGTTACTTTTACTGATACGAAAAATTGTGCCAGGACAAAGTTGTTTAGTTCAAAAGACGAATATTGTGATTCATGAGATTTTCCTTTCAAGGTCATTTTGCTGAGTTTTTTAGATCATGGATATTTTTGTGTATTAACATCTGCTTTGTATAATACAACATTATAGTGCCAATAAAGACGAATTCAGCGGCTTACATCACTAGGACTGTTAAATAACCCCGAATGATAAAAATCACACTAGTGTAAAGAAGGTCAGGATTTTCTTCATTTGTTGTTTTCTATACCAAATTCTTTATTCTACAACAAATGTTCAATGATTTTCATTAGCTTCAAAACATTCTCGAAAAATATGCATTTCAGATTTCAACTTAACTTGAAGAAACTTTTGACGTTGCTGTTTCTGTTTGTGAAACATTAAATTAGCGTGATTTTTATCATTCACGATCATTTGAAGATTGTGTTGTAAGCCGTTGAATTCGTCTTTATTTGCACTACAATGTTGTATTATATAAAGCAGATGTTAATACACAAAAAATATGCATGATCTTGAAAACTCAGAAAAATAACATTGGGAGATTTCCTATCGATTTTCCTATCGGTAAAAGTAACGAAGATATTAAGGAATTCAAGATAAACGAAGCATCCTGTATGTACATATGTATATTCAGGTATGCACTTTCATTTCTCTTCAGAAATGATAAAACAGAGTTTTGTTGGAACATTAATAATTCAAAAAATTTTCGGCCAGTTAAAATTACAATTCTAAAATTTGTAAATACATTTTAAATCGGAAAGCCCACAATTGTGGTAGTATACGTTAACGTTCTTTGAATTAAATTGGGATAAGTAAAAGTCGAATCGAAGAAATCTATTAACCTATCTCTAGATTTTAAATATTCATATCAAATTAATTTACAAATTTTTAAACAATATAATTAAAAACTGAATTTTTGTTCTGTTTGTTTAAGAATTAAATAAGTGTCCTTTTTAATTAAAAGTAGGCAAGATTTTATAGTGACAAAATTATAATGTCAACTTCAAACGACCACCACTTCATGAAAAAGAAATATTATGAAAATTGACTACGATAGAGTAAATGTTCTCAAATAAGTACCTTCAAGAATTGATCTTATTTCCGTTTTTAACTATGTCTGTATTCATTCTGAATAACAAATACATTTGGTACCGCTAAACCTAATAATCTCGGAAGACACGTATCACACAAATGACTGTCTCATCGTTATTTCTCAATACTTCGTGAAATAATCATTGTGAAATTGAAATTTTGTTAGTTAAAAAATTATAACTTACATTACAAATTACAACGTTCAATAGAACGTAAAAAGTCTCCTCGACGACCACTCACTCAAGCTTGTTCGTACACCAATGATTGACGAAAACGAATCCCGCAAGCCCATTTATCATAGATTAAACAAAGCAAGACGACGAACTGTCCGATCAGATTTACCGGTGAAGGAGTGAACTATAGTTCTGAAAAGTCGTTGTCCCATCGCAGCTGCAATGATCGTTCAAGCGGGTTCGTACGAGAAGCTGAAATTGAAAAGCATGAGCACTTAAACGTGTGCGACAAAGTATCATAAATATTCGGAGAAAGTAAGAAGAGAATCTCGGAAACGTTAAAAATTAGCGCAGTTAACCCGATACGTATGTCTGACGTCTCATTTACCAAAAATCGTGCAACATTCATCCGAGGATCGTGGATCTCTTACTGGAGGTACGCATGCGTACCGAAAGGGGGGATCCTAAGCCGATAAGAACCGAGTGGTGTCGAGCCCGCACGAACCTGGGCCGAGTTCCTGCGATCCGGTGCCGGTTCGGCGGTTGAGCGACGAAAAGTGGGGTTAGGTCTAGTAGTGGGACCGAGAGAGACGAGTTTTCTCAGGCACGGTAAGTGGGGATAGATCTCAGTGTGCAGCTGGAAGCGAATGTATAGTTCTTCGTTCCTCGAGCAGGCTGTGTGTACGAGCGGCTGAAGCGAGACGAAGGATACCGAAGCAGTAGGGAGAGAGAACGGACGAGCGTCACCGGTACGCGATAGAGCGAGAAAGGACAGTGAAAAGGGAAGAGTGGCTCGTAGAACGGCATGCCCTCGTGTGCTCGCTCGTGTCGTACAATCTGAACGCAGCCATTACGACAGAATCGGTGACGCTTTGCTACGGGTAGAGCCGTGCTTCACGCGCGCAGTGATCGCGGAACGATCGGAACGGGACGCACGTGTTTACGCCGGAATTTCAAAGAGGATTTCGGTGAACGAAGGAAGACGTATCTGTGAGAAAAAAAAGGGGGAAAAAACCTAGCCGAACGGATTCTCGTGAGGCTGTTTGTTTTCGTGCGTGTGTACGAAGAGGCCGAGAGACGCCTCTTGACGCGCGGTGTCAAGTCGCGCGGACATTCATCGATTACCCTCGGTTCCGTTCGATCTATCGACTAGTTACGATTTCGGCTCGGTGAAGGGACTGCTGAAGCTCGACGCGGTGTGCATCGACAACAATGTGTTCCGGCTGCACTACAAAGCCACCGTGATCATATTAATCGCCTTTTCATTACTAGTCACCTCCAGACAGTACATCGGCGACCCCATAGACTGTATTGTCGATGAGATACCGCTTCACGTGATGGACACGTATTGTTGGATTTATTCGACGTTCACGATCCCGGACCGGACCGGTGTCGTCGGCAAGGACCTGGTGCAGCCCGGTGTGGCGGCCCACGTTGAGGGCGAGGACGAGGTCAAGTACCATAAATACTATCAGTGGGTGTGCTTCACCCTCTTCTTCCAGGCGATATTGTTCTATGTGCCACGTTACTTGTGGAAGACCTGGGAGGGAGGAAGGATCAAGATGCTGGTGTTGGACCTGAACTGTCCGGTGATGAGCGAGGAATGCAAGACTGAACGAAGAAAGTTGTTGGTCGACTATTTCACGACGAACATGCACACGCAGAATTTCTACGCGTTCCGGTTCTTTCTCTGCGAGGTACTGAACTTCGTCAACGTGGTCGGCCAGATATATTTCATGGATTTCTTTCTGGACGGTGAGTTCACGACATACGGATCGGACGTGGTGAAGTTCACGGAAATGGAGCCGGAGGAGAGGATCGACCCAATGTCCCGTGTGTTCCCGAAGGTGACCAAGTGCACCTTCCACAAATATGGTGCGTCCGGTACCGTGCAGAAATTCGACGGGCTGTGCGTGCTCCCGTTAAACATTGTCAACGAGAAGATCTACGTGTTCCTCTGGTTCTGGTTCATCATACTGTCCATACTGAGCGGGCTGACTCTGGCTTACCGTGCCGCGGTCGTCGCCGGCCCGAAGCTTCGTCTGGTGCTGTTGCGGGCCCGTTCGCGGCTCTCGCTTCAGGAGCACGTCGAGACGATCGCCGAGAAGTGCCAGATCGGCGACTGGTTCGTTCTTTATCAGCTGGGGAAGAACATAGACCCGTTGGTGTATCAGCAGCTCGTCTTGGACCTCGCCACGAAGCTGCAGGGCAAAGAGTCCGTCTAGCCAACCGATTCGTCGCTTCTCATTCCGCTTGTTTACTCCGATCATCTACCTTCTTCCGGGTAACACGTTTGCTGCGGATCCACGCCGTTCGGCGTTTCCAATGACAAAAGTGCGCGGGGGGTGGCGCCGTTTGGCGTTGTGAACCTGTTTTGTACGTATCGTCTGTTTGTATCTGGCCTGCGGACTTTTATGCAGACATAGCGAACACTAGGACAGGGTAAAACTTTCAAGGATCCGATTGTTCAATTTTCCATTTCATTTTTAATTTAACGAATTGTTCGATCGTTTGAACAAATTTTCTTTCTGGCCTGTTTTTTCGTAAAACCGAAAATTCATGTTTTGCGCGAATGTCCGCAGTTTAGTTGTATCTTACTTCGTGCGTTTAATTAGTAATTATATTAACGTTTAATATAACAATTGAAATTCAAATACAGTAAATATGATCGCAACCGAATGACACGTATGCAGCGAATTCGACATTGGGAAAATCTGATTGAAAGGATAGACATATGTACACACACACACACACGCACACACACAATACACGCTGCATATAATCGGGCGTCTGTTCCGCGGGCCCCAGCGAATGTGTTAATTAGCCGAGCCGAACGGGTATAGTCGGTGGAAACGATATAATGTGGTCGTTAAGTAGATCCTCGATAAGCGGGATACAGGGCTGTACAGAGTATTCCATTTTCAATCCATAGAAAGATACAGTAGTTGAAAAAAGATTGGTATTTACTGAAAAAGTATTCTGTTACGTTTAAATGATTCTATAAATTTCTAAATTATGTCGAAAAATACTTACCTTCTTACTTTACTTTACCTTCGATTATAGTAAACATTCAAGTCGCATGCGTTTTTTAATCATTATATACGGTGAGTAGCGGAAGTATTTGAACAAGACATAATGTGTATAATTCGTATACATGGTAGTTTAATTAACTACTGATACGCGCACAATATGTTTTTCTATCCACTATAAATAAGGTGTCCAATTTTTACACAGTGAAACCTCGAACATTCCGTTCTTCGAATACATTCGTTACTGACCCTATTCAATATGATTCTCTATAAGTGATGCGAATGTATAAACACTTTTTTGGATCCATTGCAACCGGTCGGAAATACTCTAGCCAACAGGAATACGATAAATTTTAATTACTTCTCGCAATGCCGTGGCTCGTTCTTACGTTTATCGACATTGAATTAATAACAGTAGGAGGCCATTGGAATGGAAACATAAGTTTAGACTGTTCGTAATGTCTGAAATTTGGATTCTTACGTATCAGCGGCCGAAACACGAGTTACCTATTGATTTCTCGGCCTCGCACTATATCTTTTCCACCGTCAACGACGAAGATCGAGGGACGATGTCGCTTATCGTCGTGATCAAGATAACAGACGCGAATTCAATTCCACGATTTTCACGAGATTGATCTTACACGCCCGTGGTATACGCAACGGTCGTTTCTCGATCACGTTGGACAAACGTTCATCGACGGAGCCGTAGAAACGCGAGAAAGATCGTGTTCGGATAAATCAAGATCCCTACATTTATTTTTTTGAATTTTTCTTCGATCGTGATCTACATATATGCATTCCCTTTCATATTTCGCCGTCTTGCGCAAGTCGACCACGCTTCTATCGATAGTTCGAGACCGCGGATACGTATTCGACCGACCATCCCCCCCCCCACTCTTATCATTAACCGATTCCCTCGAATCCTCTCGCTTCGTGATCGAACGTGTACACCATTTTTTAATTCTTTTCCTAATTCCCTATTATCCGTTCGTGCGAGAAAAAGCGAATGCTCGCGTTGTTCCATATGAAATCTAAATGTGTAACATTCGACGTGTACGTATTTTCGCGAGTAGCGCCACACAGTGCCAAAAAAAAAACAGAAAAAAAGACAAAAAAAAATGGCGAAAGGATTCTTCTAGAGATAATCGCCGGTTTCCCTAATCCGCCATCCTTTATTTTCATAACGATGTTCGTCGCAGCTGGTTTTGTTTTAAATCACGAATGAAAAATGGGGATAAAACGTTGATGATCCAGCCTCACCGGTCGATATATCCCGATAAATCTCGACGCGTCGGACGGCCAACGGTGAGGAAGAAAGATTTCGCGGATGAGCTTAGTGTTAAATCCCTCCGAGCTGTCTTCGGAGGCCTTCGTAGACTCTGATTGTGTGATAATACTGGGGGCGACGTTTCATTTCCCTGTAACCATTCTCGTTTCCAATGGTGTCTTATTTCCTTTTCTTTTTTAGCTCCTAAAGTATTACGGCACCGTTTATCACTTTTTTTTCTGTTTTCTTTTTGTTTTCTCTTTCTTCCGTCGTTCTCCCAGAATCGTAATTTCACTATCTTTACCAGTTACTTTTCATATCGTAGGCATAGGAATTACATTTGTATATTGTAGACCGTCTTATAAAATAGAAAATATAAATTTATTATTTTATATATATATATATACATAGACACGGATATATAGGATGAAATAGAATAAATGAGAAAAAGAGGGAGAGAGAGCGAGGGATAGAGCGCGAAAGAGAACGAGTGAATGAGTTTGAGAGCGAGAGAAAGAACAAAAATGAAAAGACAGGCAGGCAAATAGCCTGGACAGCTAAATTCTCTTAATCCGTTGTTTGCTGAGTAATCGCGACATTCTTGACGCGCACGATGACACGTAGGTACAATATATTTTAATCGAGGGACCACGGAAAAAAAGGATCGGTATTTTACGGCCGCGTGAAATCCCTACAAATTTGTACAGATTCCTTCTTACCGTCCCACGTGACTCGATTTGAACGACAATTCGAAGGAAGACCGGACGCGGAAGAGACCACGAGAAAAGACAATAAAACGTTTAAGTAATAAGTAGACTGCGGATTTTTATATAAAGACTGGAATCAAATAGAAATTTTGTTGCCTTATTAAGCTTCCTCTTCCGACGGGAACTAAAATCCTCAATATGCTTTATTAAAAATTTAACTTGTATCAAGTTAAGCACACAATAAATGTATAAAATCCGCAGTCCAGCGACAAGGAAAGTTATATGAAAAAAAAAACAAAAACGCGGAAAAGATCCATGCTCAAAGTAAGACTGCCAAGTTATAAATTATAAATCGAGACATATTCTTCGAATCGTGCGATTCTTATATTTTTGTATCTATATTTAGGATCTTCCGCGCGGAATAGAAATCCTCCTGATCAATCTGACCTGTATTCTTACGTTTGCTCCTGTTCCTCGTTCGTTTTCCGTCCCTCTTAGCGCCAGTTTCCCCCTGATATCGTTCACACGCGACCATTCTCGCATAATAATACCGTACACCTCCTCGAACGTTTTCGTTCCTGTTGTCCCCTCCCACCCCCATCTCATTTTCTGTTTTTCTCAATTCCTTTTTGCGTGCGTTTTCTTCAGTTTTTCTTTGTTTCTCTCTCTTTATTTTTAATTTTACAGCTATTAGTAATCGTAACCGATACGTATTTAATTGTTAATCGGGCGGACGGTTTCCGGGTGTGAAGCTGCGAAGATTTCCTATAAGCGTCAGACTCGTTTGTGTTGTTGGCGCGCTTCGAACGAACTGTGCGACCTGTATCTGTTTCTCGTTTCATTCCATTGTTCTCGATATGTAACCGCTGTTTGCCTTCGATCGCGGTACCAGACGTAAAAACTCACGTGTCTGACGCTGATAGGGGATTCCACCTTGAGAGACAGAGGCCGGGAGTCGCGCACAGGATGATCCGCCGGAAGTCGCAGAATCGATCGAGGGACCCGCGTTATAGAGGGGCTTCGTGCTAACGGTTATTCCGATCGCGTATGGAAGACCGTATAGGGGACATAGACATTGTTATTCAAATAAAATTCTGCCCAATTCTTGATTGGCAGACTGTATTCGCGATGGTACGACCGTTAGTATGAAATCGCTCCAAAGATCCATGGCTTTCGGATGCCCGGGACACGATGGTCTTTTTCTGTGTCAAACGCCATCATTGTCGGTGGGTGGTTTTGTTGCGTCTGTCGCAGGGTTTGACAGCGACGTGTCTGTCGCGGCGAGATATATAGTTACATAGAAACTGTAGCCGAGGGAGAAAAAGTGCCTATTTTGCGAGCGTATATCGCGACGATTACGAGGCTGCCCGACAGGGCCGCGCTCGTACATAGTGATAGCGTACTTGTCCGGTGCGTCGATCTAACAAATTTTTCACGCTGATTAGGAGCAAACATATGATATATTTTATTATTCACCCGAAACTCGTATCGTGCACGCGCCCACGTACGTACGTGCTTCCTTGCGGCTGTAGATGCGATAAGATATATGTATATGTATATGTATATGTATATGTATATGTATATGTATATGTATATGTATATGTATGTAGAAGAAAAGGGTAGAGGAGGAAGTTTCACTATTTTTTTGTAAGCTGTACAATAGGTTATATGTACTTTTAGAAATTTGTAATAATCTTCCAGTGAGACTGGCGACCTTAGATTTTTCGAATGGCGAGTTACGTAAACCTTTGAACTTGAATTTGAAGGGTTTTTTCTTTCTTTTGTTTTTCTACTTAAGTGAATTTAATATGGATGTGCAAATATTTATGCATGATCGTGTATATTTCTCTTGTATCGTACGACACGACGCGAAGATTTTGTGGTCGAAATACTGGATTTTGTCAATGGACCTTTTGTCGATACGAAATACTGGAAGGCAAAGTGGTACGAAATGTTCGTATTATATTTTTCTTTCCTGCCATTATGTGAATTTGACGGTGATTGTTGTCACCCGTTGTTTATTACGAGAAAGGCGGACTGGGCTGAACAATTTTACATGCTATTAGTATCGGACGTATGCATGGGTTCCTGGTGCACAATGGTTGGTCGTATGTGACATATAAAGAAGTTAATGCTGAATGACTGTTTGGACTTCAGTGCTATGGTTGCATAGCACTGAAAGGGTTGATACCACAGACTTCTATATGTATACCAGACTGCTAACTTCCTTATATGTTGCTTGTGTAAAATGTACT